TTGGAAATATTATTAAAATTGAGGCCTTTGGCATTGTTTAGAAAATATATTGTTGGAGAAATTACCCCATAATTAGGAATTGAACAATATTTTCCAATTTCCAGACAGTTTATAATTAATTGAAAAAAGGTCTGAAATATTGTGGCTGAAAACGTGGAAACAGAAATCACTTCTAAAGAGAGTTTAATGCGTTTGACCCGTGGCACAGTTGCTTTTATAGAGAGAAATGATTCTTCTGCTACTGCAAAATAAAATGCTTGACATTACAGCCGAGGAGAATGTTAACTGCATCTCTGTGAATGCCCTTTTAAGAATGACTCCAAATGCTTGTCACTGATTTAGCTTTGGTTTAATGCCATAGTCATGTTTTTTTTGGCTGACTAAGAGTGAAAGCCAAGCCCCATGCTGCCTCTGACATAATGAGAGTGTTTTACTTTTGCATTAACTGTACAAATGAACAATGAGCTGTAGTGGTTATGGTGCGTGAAGCGCCTATTTGAATATAAGCGCCAGAACGTCTAAACATAACAGTGAAGGAAAATGTTTATTATAGATTATATTCTAAACAGTGACTTTGGAAAACTGAAAGCTACATTTGGAAAAAAATAAAATATGTTGGAAACATAGGTGAGTTTCTAATTTACCTATTTTGGCCACGGTTTTCCCGAGTTAAGTTTTTTTATTTTTTTAATCTCTTTATTCTTTTTTTCTAGCATTACATATATGATATCTCCAATAAATTGGTTCCTTAATCCCTGGGACAGAGCCCAAAATGAGGAACCAAAGCTGTTTAACCCCTTAAGGACACATGACATGTGTGACATGTCATGATTCCCTTTTATTCCAGAAGTTTGGTCCTTAAGGGGTTAAACTAGACTTAAAGATTAATTTTGGATTGAACTGCAATTTGGATTCCTCATTTCCAATCCAAGGTATATATTTAAATTACAGACTAACCGAATCACGCAAACCCGCACATTGTTTGGAGGGGTGTTAACATTCTAAAATCCACCGGTGGTTGCCAAAAATGGAGATGTTTAATGGAGAAAAAAGATGATTGATGGCTACTGAGCAGTCATTAAAGGTTGATTGTATTCACAGATCAAGTGAGAAGTGATAAATATAGGGTAAAAATGAGGAGCAGTAAAAATAAAAAATCTATAATTATATCTAGTAAATTTAATAAAAAATATAATATATAAATATAGTTTTTTCACTATTCCTTCTGTTTTCCTCTATTGGTAAGTTTTTGATCTGTGAACCAAATGGCAGAAAAATGCTAATATCAGTTCACTACAAAACATGTAAATTTTATTATATTATTAATAATATATTTTTCTATATCAATTTTGTGCCGTCTAGTTTGAACGTGCATCTCTTATTCATGATGGCAGCCCAGCACAAAATAAACATGCTGTGTTTCAGAGTAAAATGTAGACCCTTTGAAACTAGTAAGGGTGTAATGAAGAGACCTTGTAGAACTTATTATATCATATATTATGTAACAGTTGATAAGTGGGTCACTGAGCTCATATTACCCCTGAAGTACAGATCACAACGATACAGCTACATATGTAATATGGGTTAGAAATTATCAGAAAAGGTTAGGAACCAACTCATTGTAGCAGTTCATGTATAAAACTGTGGATACATATTGCGCTACATCATTCTTATCCTTCACTAACTACAATAAATTGCTAAAAACTGTTTATACTTTGTCTTTCGTTTTTCCTATTCTTCCAGAACAATTAACTTATCGTCCACAGTTCACTGGATTTTCATAATAACTGCAGTGTCAGATTATCTCCACGGTATATTGTACTGTTTGTCTAGGGATGATAAAAGCCTTCCTAATGATGACAGTCTGTAATTAATATGTATCAAAGCTCCACCTTAAAATGGGTATTAAAGATAAAGAAAGAGAAGATGGGAATGGTTTAGTAATGTCTGGGGGGTTCTGAAGACTTCCTAATGGGGCATACGACTAAAGGTCGAGTGGTTAATGAATATTTCCAAAACCCAAGGAAGGCATTATCTGTCCTTGGTAGCGCAATCACCTGTCTTGAATACCGTTGAACCACTATGGACAGTTTTGAAAAGGAAACTATAAGCATATTCCCTCCTACAACATGTCTGAGGCAATTGGCAGATGTTTTGACAGACTGGTACTTCATACCATTGGAAACTATTCAAAAACTATGTCAATCTATTCCAACACATGTTGAAGCTGCATTAAAGATACACCCTGGGCATCATTGGAATGAAGTTATGGTGCCAGGAGGTCCCTGGTGCCGGCTTACATTTAGGGGTTAAACTGTTACACAAATTAGATAACAAAAAGTAATAAAATTGTATTTACAGAATAGTCCCAAATTTGATTGATAGCAGAATTCTTGAGATGGTGTTCATCAACTTTTGCGGATTTTGTGATATGAAATGACAAGGATGGCAAAATAGTGTAATATTGTATATGAACACAATACAATGCCTGCTGTACTTCACCTCCCCTATCAAGAACTCTGCTATCAATCGAATTTTGGACTATTCTGTAAATAATATTTTACTACTTTTTAATATTAGTGCTGTTCAACATCTCTACACCAACATTTGGCACAACCTGTTTTTTATCTCTACCTTTACTTTACTCTCTTGGATTGTTGGATTATCCAAGTTTCACTGTTTGCTGGAACTAGTGCTTTATCAACATTTTTTTTCCTTTTCGTGTTATACGAATGCCTTAACTTCAAAGTCCAGTATCATGTGCCCCATATTCTTGAAAGAGGAATCCAACTGTTAATTGATTGGGAACATCTCCTGACACTCTAAATTGATTAGTAGCTCCCCATTCACAAAACGGCATGAGAAACACACATACCCTTTTTTGAATGTTGGGGGTATGGGAGAGCCAAGATATTCCTGGCACCATAACCACCATATTCTAATGGTTATGGTGTTTGGTGTGTTCCTTATAAATCAACAGGATAGACTCCTTAGTGTAGCCCAATCCCCTTTCAGTGAAGTCACCATGATTAATGACTTTTATCCAATCATATGGTTTTCATGGAGCTCACGCATATTCTCTATTAGAATCTAATACTTCTCGATAGAGATACATTGAGATACATTACATGCGCACAGCATTAGGAGTCAGAGTCAGACTACTTTGCATGCTGACTCTGAATGCCATGTAGATCCAATAATTGAATCTTTTTCAGTCCAAAGCCCTTAGTGGGGTCTGTCTGCAGCCATTAGTAGGCAAGGAATGCAGGTCTCGTAAATGACCTCATTTTCATTTGCCCAGATAGAAGGGCAGTAATTTTGGTGCTCAGTTTCTCAATTTAGAAGACTCAGGAAGTGGAGACTTTTCAGAGTGTTCTGTTCCATTTTACTTGACATCAAGTTCCAGTTAACACAATGCACTTTATATTAATAGAAAAACAACAAAAATTTACATTCTGTAATGCCTTTAAAAATGAACTACAATTATATAATTCCATGATATAAATAGAATTTTTTTTTCCAGTAAGAGAATGTATTCCTTATTTGGCATTTACCTTATTTACATCATCATCATATAACCACCTGGGCTGGTTTAATCTGACTCAGGAAATACCTGCTAGCTGGAGTTTTAAGAACAGATTGTGACCTGCTTCTCCTGGCAACGTATGTACAGAGAGAGAGAGTGACGTAATGCCCAGCAATGAATACACAATGTTTTGAACCTTGACATATCAGAAACAAGGTAAATAGTAGGTTATGCATACATTAGCCAACATTAGGCAAAGTCATGTGAAGAGAACATGGATTCAAACTTAAACATAACTTGTCATGTGTTAGTTCAGGCTTGGCAAATTATGAGGTTAACGTTCATAAATATAAAAGTAAAGGTAAGGTAAGCATGCAAGTCAGCTGGTGTACACTGGGCATGTAAAATGTAAGACAGGCTTATCAACAATCAAGGAACATAATACTCTTGTCTGACTGTAGTAAATGAGTATGTGTCTAACTATGTGGACTCGCCAGGTATGTAAAGGCTAGTTAATACCATGATAGAAGTATACATGTAAAGGCTGTGCAACAGAATAAAGTCAAGCTATTTATGGTTAGCCTGGGCGACATTTCTATGAGACTGTGGAGACATATGTGCACTTTGGTGCTAGAGATGTAATAATGGTACGCTGGGTAATTTGTGTGTACATAGAAGGGACTAGCTTAATGCTGTATTCAGAGTCCTGTATGTGTGGATCACCCCACTCCCGCTCTCACCACGATAGTTCCACTGTAAGACTAAAGTCCAGCTTTTTGCTGATGCCCCCTTGGAAGCCTAGCATATCTCATTGATATTACAATTATGGCATTTGAGCAGTGCACGTTTTTGTATATAGATGTAGAAACAAAACATGAATTAATATTGGTTGCTCATTACAGTTAAAGTTACTAGCTTAATCTGCGTTAAATCGTCAGCTTGGCTAAATAAGAAGAACATTAATATAAAGTGAAAAAATCAACGCTTATCAGTGCTAGGCTAGTTATATTAGTTATGCTAAAACAGTTGCAGTGTTGTAATGCGCTTTGCCGTGTGGCAATAGCTGGCCTGTGTGCGAGGTTTATACAGGGCGTGTTGCTCTTGTGTAGGCCATTTGAAAACTGCGCATTTTATTTGTTATGTTGAAACTTGCTGGTCACAATTTTTATGCAGTTATTGCCTGCAGATCGTTCAGCCCTTTTTAACCCGCATTATCACATTAACACTAGGACACATTTATGCTTAAAACCTTATAGGTAAAATAGTTAGTGCTGGGTAAAGCTTAAGCACTGGAACTATTGTTGATTGCATAAAGTATTAAGTGAAACAAGTAATGTAGTTAACGCTTATATAAGATAATGTCCGCTTGTATTAAACTTGAGACAACAGTGATACGTAAAAACAGGCATTATAAGCATGCTTAGTGAGAACTCCAGGTTAGTAGGAGCCTTACTAGTCAGTGACCTGCACACAGTCAGTCGATTCCCACATCTGGGAATCTGAAACCCTGGAAGTGGGGGTTCAAGAAGGCAGCGTAAGTCCCGAAAATGTAATAATTCTGCCTCCGGCCCCAGGCTGAATCCCTGGCCTGCAGTTGTCTGCTGCAGATCCGAGCCCGCCAGCTGTCTTTTTCTTTCTCCGATGAAGTGGGGCGTAATACCCAAGTGGTGTGTTGCATCAGGCGGTGGCAGCGCCTCCGTCTACATGGATGCCGCTTCAAGGTCGTGTTCCGCTTGGCTCTTGGCTTGGGCAGGCTTGTCGTGGTAGATGGATGAGTAGGGGGTAAGGGGTTACCCCAAGGCGGCTTTGTCTTCCCTCGGGACCCGCTGTCACCACTCACGGTTCGCTGTTGGGGCTCAATATGCTGCAGGCGTGCCTCCAAGGAAGCCCAGAAGCATGCAAAATGGCCCTCGAGCCGCTGTAGCACGCGATCAGCTGGGCTGGAGTGCGCAAGGCAAGGTAACGTAGGCCCGACTTCACAGGTGAGTAGCCCCGCCACCATGAAAGAGGGTTCTAAAGTGAATTTTGGTAGCTTTTCCAAAATTACCAAAGATCAAAAATGTTAATGTGTTTTCTGCTGTTTTCTTCCCTTCTCCTTAATCACAACAAATGTTTAAAGATTATTCACGAAAATGAAAATTTAAATTAAATTCCAAGTGAATTTCAAATTTAAGGTAAAGAAAGCAAAACTTAGAAAAAATATTTCAGCTAGTTTGCCATCAATTTGTCATCTCTGGCCTTAAATTTGAAAATTTGTCTGAATTCTCAGGTTAGTAAATATTCCTATTTTTTTGTATTTTATTTTAGTGAATAGAAGTCTGCTACAACGAACGTATCTACCAATACACAATACACCAGTTACTTTATACCACAGCCATATATAACCAGAAATAAAAACTAACCAAAATCTAAATAACCAGTTCCATGAATTGTATGTTTCTCTTTGTACAAATTAGTTGTTATTTCTTCAATCTACGTATATAATCAACTACGCAACTTATAACTTGTTCCAATGCCAGACCACTAACCTCAACCCGATTTCAATGTAGATGCAGAATTCATGTGTGTTGAAAAAAAATATATTTTGAGATTAATCGTTTATCAAAAGCATTTTGAAATGTTCCATTTTATTCACAAAAGCACAGGATAGACATTATAAGTTATGTGCACTGAGTAGGCATTTTGGATAATTTCTATGTATTTATCTGTAAATTTCTGCCTTCCTTTAATTAGATTGTGATCTGTGACCATGACAACACAAAGCTTGTTTTGTTTTATTGAACTAATCTGCGGTTTAATTTCTCCCTTTTCAGCAAAGTGATACACCAAAGTATAATAGCATTCTCCTGACAGCACTGGTCATGCTGCTTAAACAATGGCTTAATTACTTAATTTGGGAAACGATGATAGAGATGCATCCTGTGTCCTCATTATCATTACGATTTCTACAAATCTATACAATTAGCGTGAGCCAGTCAATGTAGCAGTCCGTTACACTCGTGCTAGCCTCAATATTCCATAGAACAATTCACTTTCCCTAATGTTCTACCATGCAAACAATCAAAGGGTCACTCTAAGCACCATAACCTGTGATGGAAGGCTCCTTGACCCAAGTCTCAAGCTATAGATGACCGGATGACCAGTCTGTTTTTACTATCATGTTATGCTTTGAACTTTTAGTCTAGTTTCAGTGTCTGACATGTAAGCATAAATTCTTTACTTGTAACATTTTGTGGTTTCTGAGGAGACGATTGCAGCTTTACCCTCAGCCCCCCTTCTTATGTCCTAACAAACTTTATATTTATATATATATATATATATATATATATATATATAGTCATTGAAATATGCTTAGTTCTGTAAATTCCTTTTATGGTACAAAGTGTCTTCAAGCATCCTGTTTTTGTTGCGCAAGTCACAAAATACTATATAATCTTGTAAGCTCTTCCAATAAAGCAAATAATCTTTGAATCACAAATTGTCTGGTGTGTCTGATTGCTTTACTGAGTGCGCGCTCAAAGTACAATTTGGTTTCCCCTGAACATATCTCTGGGTTACTTTTTATCCCTGTCAAACCATTTCATTCTACTTAAATGTTTATGGTACAAATTTATTTTTATTGTTTCACTCTGAAGATAAATACCTTTTCATTTTTGTATGTAGGGTCACCTCTCTGTCTGTCAGTCAGCTTTCTGGAATACTCGTTCCTAGGTATAATATCTGTTTTGTACAACTTTTGTGTTTGGTGTCAGCACACAAAGAATGCTAAGTCCAGACATCTTGGATAAGCTTTGCATGGCTCAGTGAGTTAGCAAAAGCTACTGCTACCTGGTTCTCAGGCAATTTAATTATTAACTCCCTGATAAAGAAAAAACATAAATCGGATCTAGTTTTTGATCGTTGCAAAATGCTAGGAGCAGAGGTCAGAGGAAAAAACAAACAAACCAGCCACAAAACAAGCCATTTTGTTGGGAATTTATGTTAGAAATTAGGTGGAAGAAATTTCCTTTTCATGCTCGACTACAACTCGTATCTGGCTCATTGAGATCCTGACTGAGGCTGTTGGGAAATAAATATGCATCTGGTGTTATGGAAAGTGGAATATATTGCAACCAACCTTATCCAGTGGTTGCTAAGCCACATATGAATTTTGGTCTACCATAGCATTATATAGCACTATTTTAATGGACACATACAAAATTAATACTTTAAAGATTCAATACAACTTTAATGCATTTGATTTTGGCCTGCTCATATAGTTATAGCTTTTGCACAAAAAAATATATTTTGCAGAATTCTGCACCATAAGTCTGCCTCCGTAGCCATGCCCCCTCATGCCAGAAAGACTTATCAAAGGCACTGATTGAGCGTTTTTTAATGCACACGTTCATAGGAACTACAAGCAGGTAGTGATATTCTTAGTATATGTCTCCCTGGGTGTCCTCTCCTTCTAATGCAGGTTGTTTTTAGATTTCATATAAATTTCAGGACAAAGGTGGCAGAAAACTCCTCAACATGTAACAAGGACTAATCAACATACGTTATAATGTTGGCACCTTAAAGGAGAGAATGTTCATAAAGTTTAGAGTCCAGAATTCAAAACAAGGCATTATCCCACGTAAGTGGATAAAAAGACTATTTGCTAAATCCAATAGGGCAATGTAATTATTCCATAGGAAGAATTACTAATGCATTGCTAGGCACCACAAAGATGACACAATTATAGAGAAGACCACTCTATATGTTTCATCCCTCATTGGGTCTTTGACAAGAGGACTAATAATGTTGTGATTTTACCAGCATTCCCCTAATTTCTACATGCCTATTTTATTTGTATTCTCCTTTTTCTATTTGTGTATTCCTTTATTTTATTTCTTTATAAGGTCTTTTCTGAATCCTTCGTATTGTTTTTTTAACTTTTAATGTTTTGAGTTCTAATAAATAATATGTATCTACTTATTCTGTGCCCTCTCCCCCCTCCCCCCAAATAGTTTTTTTTTTTTATCCAATGCCTGGCATTAACAAAGATGTAAGTGTTGCGCAAAAAAATAAATATCACAAGGGTGGTTGTTTTGGGCCAGAGCACTGGTCATTGTTTTGGGGTAAGGGTGGGAAATAAAGGGATAGGGAACCTCCTAACCCTATTCCAATTTGAACCAGGAGTTTGAGCACGCCTTAAATAACCATAAAAGAGAGCTGTGAAATATCCATTGTAGCAGTGAGAGAGTTATATTTTTGTTTTGTTGTGCATGCTCAGTCAGGCTTTGCTAGATTGCTTGACTGGTGTGATGCTAATAATGGGACCTTATAAATGTTTGCTGTAGACATAGAATTTATGCCAGGGTAACCGTTATTTTTTTTTTACCGGAGTAGCAGCAGATGCACACAACTAGTAATTATTATTTAGCATACATTTACTGCAATAATCTGAATATTGCGTAGCTATTTAAATCATATTGTCTCATAGAGCCTGTCTTTTTACAGCACAAGCACACTACCCTCCCAATACTTCCCCAGGGGAAAACATTTCATTGGCTGAGATCATCTACAATAATGATCTCAGATAAGATGTGGAGCCTGACTGTGGAAATCGGTGGAGTGAGGGCTGAAAGGTAAGTAATATTCACCTTTTAACAGGTAGCAGGACACTATAAAGTTAGGAATACATTTTTGCATTCCTAACGCTACAGTGGTCCTTTAACTAAGGGTTAAAGAAAAATGGTTGTCTTGAACTATAGCTTGGTTTTACATATGATCATGACATCACGCATACCTATTATTGACTATTGACCAAAAAAATCATTGTCAGACATAGGGTAACTGGCACATTGTATCTCAGTAGCAGATTAATTTGTTTCACATAATTTGCAGACAGTGATGGAATAATTGTCACAGCTGTCAATCTCAAAGTAATGCAGAAAGACAAGGGAATGTACTAACTGACAAAACGTTTCAATAGATAGAATGAGCTGGACTCCCTAGAATTTGCAAATGTAATATTAGCAAAAAAAAATATGTCAACACATTCTAAAAAACCTGATTGCTTCTCATCTTCTACTTCTCTCATATTCATTGCATTCATGCATTCATTTAGTATATCAGCCCAGAGTATAGATACATCATTTTCTCTTGTAATGTGTTATAAACTCCAGTAATGCCCAGTAAAACATCTGCTGGCTGAAATTAAGTTGAATGGATCTGTTTATAGAGCTGCCTATTTGAGTACAACAGAAACCTATGACTACAACTGAGCATGCTTTTTATGCAGAGTATCCTAAAGCAGCATTGCCTAAACATGGAACACCAAATGTATTTAAACTACATATCCCATGATGCTCACCCATCTCTAAAGATCACTGCAACAATGTACCTTTGGTGCTTTATCTTCCTTGAGTTAACACTATGGGCACCCAGATCACTTCATTTAATTAAAGTGGTCTGGGTGCAATGTCCCTACCCCCTTTAGTTCTGTAAAGTAAACATTGCTGTTTTTCGAGAACACCGCTTCTCGTGGATGTCTACCAGACAGCCACTGTAGATGCATTTCCAGAGGTTTACCAGACTCTGCGACCCCTAAATGATGCTGGAAGTCCTTACGCTCGCAAGAGGACATCCAGCATTACTGAAATCCCCATGGGAAAGCATTTATTAAATGCTATTCTATCAGGAGGGCCTAATGCACTTGTGGCGTTCAGATGACATCAGAGGAGGTGGAGCACCAACCCAGGCACTGGAATTGTGTGAGTAAATAAAGGGATTTTAACTCTTTGTCTGCTATGGCGTGGGGTGGCCACGAGGGAGAGGGGACTAGAGGGCACTATATTGTTTAATTCCTAACAATATAGAATCCATTTTACATTTGTAAAGCTCTGTGTTTTAACTCATTGTACGTATCGTACCATATTTAAAGTCCAACTAAGGTTAGATTTATTCAGCTGACTAAGCAACGTGGCTTTTGTCAGATATACTAGAATTACTATCAGAGCAAGAGGTATGGAATAT